TGATAATAAAATTACCCACAAATTATTATATATATAGAGTGATGAAGGGGGTGAGAGTGTGAAATTGCATATCCAAGAATCCCAAAGACCCTTTTTGGGTCCCTCACTCAATTGTGTCTTTATCCACACCTTTTTGTCCTTGTGATCCTTTCTCAAGTTTTTTTTTCCTCTCCCTCCTTTACTTGCCGGTCTCCTTTATAGCAGCTTCTTCTTTGTTCCAACCTTCTTTTTTCTTTTTTTTTTCTTCCCATTATTATCCATGTCTTCACCCTCAACTTCATCATCTTCTTCATCCCAAGACGGAAACCACAGTGCCAATGCAGCTGGCCCTAGCAATGTACAAAGAAGTGGTGATTTTGAAGGCCCATCCTCATCCAGACGACGTGCCGTAAACGAGGTCTGGCCTGAGCCTTTTGTGGAAGCCCTCGCTACCCAAGTTGCCATTGATGCCTCTCGCTCCATGGGAAGGCTTGCTGCAGCTCCTGCTCTTGCCAATGTGTTTCAGGTCCGTTTTCTAATCAAATTGAATAATCATAACTCTACTCAAACTCATGTTATTCCTCTGCTTAATTAATTATACATGAAGATTTTTTTGTTCAGAATTTTTGTGTAACAATGTGAAATTTGTTACCATAATACGAGTAGGGTATGTGTTTGTGTGCTTAATTTTAATGATGTGGGGGGGCATCTTTGGCTAGGTGCACTGAGAAACTGATGGGTTTTTACCAAAACTGGACAGAGTATTAGTCTAGTCAAATGGTGTAAAATTACAACAAAAAAATAAAAAATAAAAATTTTTGAGTTCTGGGTTTTATTCTAATCCTTCCCTAATATTGGGACGTTTTACAAAATTCGATTTGGCTTGCCTTGGTTGCCTATGAGCAATGAGCATCCGAGAAGAAAACTACTTCTTTCTGAAAGCAAGTGCTTTTTTGATGGGTCTATTCTCATTCTCTCTATGCAAATTTTTTTCAAAATGTCCCTTTCACAGGTTTGTTGTTTTTGTAGCACACTTCACAAAATGTGTCTATTTTTGCACCCCTTTTCTTCCTTTCCAAAATCTAATGAAAAAGGGTTCTTTTGGCTTTGAATTTTTCCTTTTCCTCTTTATTGGCATGTAACCCTTTTGAGCTCTTGCAATAGCCCCATTGGCTTCTACTTTTTGACTCAACTTTCTTCAAATTTTATCGGGATGCCTTTTCTCAGTTACTTATACAAATAATGCTTGCAGATATAGATAGATAGATTGATGGCGAACTTTAAGGCAGTGTTAAGAACTAAATAGCAAAATTTAAGGAGCTGTGTTGCTCTTTTTTATCTTTATCTTTTTCTATATCTAGCTAACATACGACGATTATACTAGGAGTCGAACTTGGGATCTCCGACTCAAACTCGGGACCTTTTCTGGGAGAGCAATTGTTCTTTGAGTCTTTTTATAATTTGTTTTGTTTTGTTTTAAAAAAATGTGTGTTTTCACTTCGCCGGAAAATGTACTAAAATGAATGTGGAATGTATTTGAAACTTGAACTTGATGCCATTAGAAAAAAAAAAAAAAAAAGGAGGGGAAAAGAAAACACTTGAGTTTGATTTGAATCCAGACGGCTTTCTATATGAGGAGGGGCTATTAGCCATACGCATAGAGGGGTAGGGGGGGTGTTTGATTGAGATGAGATGAGGAGAGATGAGAGTGATCTCTCTGACAGTTGATGTGTCAAAAACCTGCATGCATGTGGCATATGCGATAAAGCACATGGTGCCCAATGCTGGTTTGGTCTACAAACTCATGTCTACTCGTCAACTCCAGAGGTGTGCTTGTCTCTTATTACATGCAATCTCGAAAACGGTCACTTCTAATATGCTATGCTTTGTTTTCTTTTGTTTGTTTCCATTTCGTCTTGTGCCTTTGAAACACTCTTATTACTTGGCCTCTTCTTGCTCCGGAAGCCTAACTAGGGATATAAATTTTGTTAAATTACAAAGCCTAACTGTGATGTATGAAACTCTATATAAGAACAACACGCACAATAATTATTGCATTACATAAAATGTTCTCTTGTTAAACAGCTCGACAACTATAAACTCTATATAAGAACAACACGCACAATAATTATTGCATTACATAAAATGTTCTCTTGTTAAACAGCTCGACAACTATACTTACGAGCTAATAAACTTTAACCATCGAGTATAAATTTTGTTAAATGACAAAGCCTAACTATGATGGATGAAACTCTGTATAAGAACAATACACATTATAATTATTGCATTTCATAAAACATTCTCTTGCTAGACAGCTCGATGTCTATACGTACGAGATAATTGACTTTAACCATTAAATTTAAATTTTGTGTATGAATATGTGATTCAAATTAATCATCTCTCCAACACTTTAGACGAAAGATTAGTCTTGAATTATTAAACATGAAATCATTGTCGCAAAAAAAAAAAAAGGTTCTCTTGCTAGACGTACGAGAAATATTAATCACTGAATTTAAACCTTGTTTAAAGATGTGATTACAATTAATAGCCTCTGTGAAGAAAAGATTAACTAAAACATCACCCCAGAATGTATTTACACGATCAAATCTCCCATAGGTGAGCTGAAAAGAAGAGAAAAAGAAAGATCCAATTAGAGCAGGAAAACGTGAGTGCACGCAAGGGTGGGATAAGTCCAAGTAGAAAGGAGGGAGGAGTCAAAGAAAGGAGACAGTAGAGAGGGGGAGGGAAGAAAGAGGGGAAGAGGGTAGGGATGAAAAAGATTCGCTTCTTTTGACGAGACAGGCTTTGGCTACAACCCACATACACCTTTCTTGGAAATGAAAGATATATATATATGTGGGGAAGCACGCAAAATTTGCAATCCTATGTTTGTGTCAAAATAAATTTCGTAATGTTTTTGGTCCAAGCAAAACCAAACCAAGCTTTATGTTTCATGTATGGACCACCCACCATCTACATGTGGTTTTTGTACTTGTCTTTGTCCCTAGCTATGTCAAAGTTGCTAAGAAAAATATTCCAAAGTTTTATTGAGAATATTTATGTCACTTTTAATTGTCGCATGCAAATAGGGTCAAGTTTTATGTAGCTAGGCTTTAGCTCGATTGTACTTGGGTGGTACAATATATGTTGTAAAAGTGTACGTGGGTTGAGTGATAATAATTAAAGCGGGGAGATTAGGTGTCAGCCTTCTTCTCCAGCTTTCAATTTCCATGATAGTCGGATCGATATGTCATTTATCTTGCATATTTGCATGAGAGAGAGGAGAGAGAGATTTGCAGAAAATGAAATGATCACTAGATAGATATTAAACCACACAGATGACATGCCAGTGCTTTATTTAGACTTAGTCTGACTGATGTTTTTCTTCCTCTGTTACGCTCTACTAAACCCTAGCTATAGTATTTACTCTCTCTCTCTGGTCATGCTTCACTGCTCATTGCCAGCTGAGCTGTTGCCTGCCCCTCCTCGGGCTCCACCTTCAAGGTCCTCTCTCTCTCTCTCTCTCTCTCTCTCTCTCTCTCTCTCTTTCACATACAATAATAGCTAGCTTTACGCGCATGGCATGAACCTGTGCTCTCTCTCTGTCTAGGGTTTTGGATTCATATGCTTCTCTTCTACTCTATCAATGGTTGTCCACCCACCCACCCTTCCACTTAATATGAGAACCAACTACACCCAAACACAACAAAGTAATTAATCCCTAGTTTTTCCCTTTTTATTTATTTAAAAAAATTAGTTAAAAAACAGTCATTCTTGCACCCGAGGTTTTGTGTTCGATTCCCCTCCACAATATGGGCTTGTTTAAAAAAAACAAGGGGATATGAATCTAACTAGTAGAACATGAGGGAACTTGGACTGCCAACCCTTTTGTACGTTCCAAGTTGAAAACTGCACTGTTGAATTAAAATTTGTCCTGCAGGTCCTTGTATTGTTGCTCTTGTTTCCTTGTGGATGTCGGGGGTGTAATTAGTTAAGGTGTCCTCCCTTTAACCGGTTAAAAAATAGATGCGTCAAATGTCTGACACTAACATTAAATACCCATATAACCCTTACCTACACATGCAAGCGTGCCTATTTTCTCCGCTTAATTAAAATAAATAAATATCGACATAGAATTATGTTTAATATTTTTTATACAAGGCAACGTGCATGCATGAAATGAGCTGTACCCCATGTACTAATTTCGCCTGCCTACGTGGCACTATTTTTTCTTTGGGTTGACAGATTTGTTCAACGTGGCGCGCCGTCTCCCGCTCGGACCTCCTCTGGCATCGACTCACGCGCCTTGTTTGGGGCAGGACCCGCCTCCTCCAGGACACGTGGCGCGACGAGTACGTCTACTGGCATCGGACGGCTAGGAACTTCCAGACCCGTAGATCGGTCCACACAATACTCTACTTCGACCCGTCCGACGTGGAAGATTCCAACGGCTTCACCTGCCGCTGCCTCACGCTCTCCGACGCCCACCTCGCCTGCCGCTCCCGCTGCCGCCCCG